AATTCAGATCCACCTTCTCTAAAGAGAATATATACACACGCATGTATCAGGCTCTTGATTCTAGAAAAGGGAGTCTCAGGCACTCGAAGGCAGGCCTAGGACCCTTAAGGAAGTCTCAAACTCCACTGCAGGGTGGTCCTGAGCTGTGTCCCCCTGAGAAGGAAAAGGACGGGAGATTGTCCTGTAGACTCCTGAAAAGGGTTTATGTATCTTGGGGACGCTCAAAATTCCCCTGAGGTCTCCACCTTACTTGCGTTCCCTGAAGGAGAAGTCTTAGACCCTTATCCCAGGGGAAAGGAAATCTCAAGGCACGGAACACAAACCAAGGTCCCTTGCAGTCACGAGACTCCCCTCTCAGGAGGCAATCCCATCTAATGGCCCTACATGATGAGGTCTCATGGCCCGGAATAATGGCTCTGGGTCCCAGAAGAGACCACAGACTCCATCCTTAAGTCCGCCATCTTATCTGGGGCCTCTAACCCCCAAGTCCTTGGTGGGCGGTGGGGAAGAGGGTGCCTCAGGCCCCCACCACCAGAGAAGAATGCCAAGCTCCGGGAGCAGACGTAGGTCCCTCGGGACGATCTCAAACAGCCTTCTTTGGGTCCCTACCCGGTCTGGGGATCCCACCCACCATGGGGATCCCACCCACCATACCCACTCACCTGTTACCCCCAGCCCATACCTGCTCAACGGTTGCGGGGTCCATAGCCTCGATGCGAGCTGCAGCCGCTTCATACTCGTCTTCACTGTTATAACCCGCGCCGACCTCCTCACGCTCTGGACTGCCCCCTCCAACCGCTCCGACCCCGGGGGCTTGACGCCGCCGCTTGCTGTGGCCCGGCCCTGAACAGCAACCGCCAACGCCTACGGCTCCGCCCACGCCCACCACCACGCCCGCCGCGCCCACACCCGCCGCCGCTGCACCCAGCGCGTCGCCGGGACCGCCGCCGGGACCAACAGGGCCCCCGCAAGGAGGAGGTGAAGCCTGCTGTGGCCGCGGACCCGCCACGGCGCCAGGCGGCACGGCCAGCGCCCAGCGGTGAAGCGCTCCCGGTGGCCCCGGTAGCGGGCCCTGAGGCGGTGGCGAGGCCCGGGGACGGGCCCCCACGACGCCCGAGTCACGGTCGCGGTCGCCACCGCCCACACCCGTGCCGCCGCCGCCCACGCCCACACCCCCGCCGCGACGCGGCGCCGGGGGCAGCGGCCCGGGCGGCGGCGGTTCGTTGGCGGGGTCGGCGTCGGGAGGCGGCGGCTTCTTTTTGGGGAGAATAGTCATGGCGGCACCGCCAAGTACCCCCCAGCAAACCCGGCGCGAGGCACGCCGGGAGAGAACCCGGATGAGGGGGCTACTGTGGTGCGCGAAGCACGACGGGATCGGCGGGACCCGGATAAAGAGATTGATGATGCACCGGTTCGAGAACCGTCGGTGGCGCGCGGGTCACGCGGCAGGAGAACCCGGATGTGAAGTCCTAGATGAAGGCACCGCGGCGGGTTTGTCGCAGCCTTCTCTCCAGTCCAACAAGTTTATTGCTACACTCGCTCGTTCCGGCCTGCTGCTTCAAAGGAAACAGAACCAAAACAAGCACCTCTTCGCCCCGCCCCCTCGCAGGTTCTTGAACTACCGGGTGGGGCCCCGGGGCGCTGCGCATGCGCGCCAGGGCACGGCCCCGCCTCTCGTTCGGAAGTACGTGGGCAAAATCTTCGCCGCCGCCACAACAATCGCGGGCACCAACCAATCGGGGCAGCTGCGTGGGTGCTCGATGATGCCCACGGGCCAATCAGATGCGAGCGATCGCCCTCCCGTGCCCTCTGTCTCAGATTTCAGTCAAAGTCGGCACCCTCGTTCCTTGCCTTCCTTTCTCGTCCGCCCTGTTGCGCTCTCCTCTCCTCTAGGCTGTGACTCGTAGGCGGGGGTACTAAGACAGGACAGCGTGGCCGGCCCCGCGCACGACAATTTTGGAAAGCGCCTCCCTGCCAGGCTTCCAACTTGGCCGCAGTCAGCCGGACTGACTGGAAAATATCAACACTCCCAGAGCATAGCACTCCCCTGAAGCGTCAGTTCCGGTCCCACCCACCTGCAAATCCACGTCCGGCGGGGAGGCGGGTTCCGCTTCACCCTGGCAACAGACCGAGTTCTGGGGTGATTGGTTAAGGGGAGCCGTCATTCACGTTGGGCCGGCCAACCCTGGGACAGACGTGCACCGTGGGGACCTTGGGTGTTTGGGAAGCAGACACACCTTCTTTGGCTCCGCAGCACTCTCGCCCTCGCGTTGACCTCCCCGCCCCTGTGGCTAGTGCGCAAGCGCAGCACAGCCTTTCCACCGCCCCTCCCCGCCCCCCGCCCCCCGCCACTGAGTTTACCCGGGTTGAGCAAAAGTTTATGAACCAGCGCTGTCACCAGCCAGTGCTTTGCAAAGGGGGTTGGTAAAATCCCTGGTATTGAGCGGTTGGAGAGCTACAAGCTAATCGGAGCTCTGCCCCTCCTGTCTGAGCGATCTTTGGCAAGTCATTTAACATCCATCCCACCCACAATTTTTCAAGAAATTTTTTTTTAGTAATCGCTGTACCCAGAGTGGAGCTTGAACTCACAACCCCCGAGATCAAGAGTCGCATGCTCTTAGGACTAAGCCAGCCAGGCGCCCCTATCTGCAATTTCTACTTCTCTGTAACATGGCAATGATAATTATGATTTAAGGATCAGAGCTTAATGCTTGTAAAGGGCCTAGTGCTGTGTCTGACACATAGTAAGTGCTCAATAAATTAGTCTGAATGGCAGTGCAAGGAAAAGGATCCCAGGCTTTGGAGTCAGGAAGACCTCAGTTCCAGAACCTGATGGACCGTTACCAACTGTATGACCTCGAGCGAGTCATTGTGTCTCAAATTTGAGGTTAATTTTTTTTGAGAGTTAATGATTTATTTCACATGTCGTTTTAAGATTCAGACAACTACAGAGATTCAGAGTCATACAGGGAAAATCCCCTGCACATAGCAGATGCGCATTAATGTCAGCCATTGTGACGTCACCATCGCTTCTCCCCTCTCTTCCCATTCCTATTGCCCATCTTTGGGAACTCTGGTGTCCCAAAGTCTGCCCAGACTACCTCAGGGAGTAGTTATGGGGTTCAGATGGGCTTATGAACCAAGAAGTTGTTTCGAGAGGTGAGGGCTTGCTGCCAGTCTTGGGAGTCAAGCCATACATGTTGACCGAAAGATGATCAGAAAGCTCTTCCGAGTGCCATCTAACCTTCTTCCTTCAGATGCTGACCTTGGTTGAAGTTCTTCCCCGAAGGGTGTCAGTTACAAATGGCATGTTGTGTTTTCTGCTCTGAAGACTTAGTGGGAGAGGACTCACGTTTCCTGGGCCTATTGTGTTCAGGGCACTATGCCAAATGCCTATGCATGTTATCATATTGAATCCTCTCATGATCCTCTCACTTGACCTATATTTCCTACTAGATATTTGTCCAGCACTACATGTCTAAAATTGAATCTAGGGTAACGTTGTAGCTAATCTTCACCAAGTACTTTCTATGTGCCTGGGGCTGTGTGCTAATGGGTTTGAGGTTCCTTTTGACAGTGAGTGCCACCCCCCACTCAGGCTTTGCCCAAGCCAGAACCTGGGAGTCACCCTTGTCTGCTCCCTCTTCCTCAACTCCCACATGCCTGTCAATCCCAAGTCCTGCCAATTCTACCTCTCAAATCTCTTGATTCTCCAACTCTTACCACCACTACACTTCCAAGCCAGCATCACCCACCAACTGGACTACTGCAAAAGCCTCCTCACCACCCTTCCTCCTGCCAGGACTGTTTCTCTAGAATCCACTGTCCACAGCCAGAGCGATCCTTCCGAAATGCAAACCTCAGGATGACTTTCCCGTCTACAAGCCTTCAGAGGTCCCCGTTATCCTTAGGATAAAGTCCAAAATCTGCATGTTAGCTTCAAAGGCTTTTTGTGATCCGGCCTATCTCCACATCCTTACTCTCATCACAGCCTCACACTCTCCTCCCCAGCTGAACTGAACTAATTTCAGTTTCCCAAAGGCCCTGAGCTTGCCTCCTAACCTCTAGGTCATTGCACATGCTGTTCCATCTGCCTGAAACATTTTTATCCTTTTGCCTGGCTAACTCCGCCTCATTCTTTGGGTGTTGGCAGGGTTAGGTCCTCCTGTCATCTGCATGCTTCTGCAATCCCATCGATTTTAGTTCTACAACACTACACTGTAATTGCTTAATTGTCTGCCCTCCATGCTCACCTCTGTGGATCAGAGACAATGTCTTCTTTGCCCATCTTTGTATCCCTGGGGCTAGCACATGATACGCGGTTAATAAATATTTGGTGAATAAATGATTATTATTTTACAGATTAGCAACCTGAGGCAAGAGAAGGTTTAAGTGACTCTCTCACCTGGGGATTGGAACCCAGGTCAACCCAAATCCAAGGTCTGTCTTCTTGGTGCTCCACAGGGCTCAGTCACACACTAGCCTAGTGTACCCAGTAGCCCAGCAGAGAGAATGCAGGGGATGTCCACAAGGAGGGGGAATTTACCAAATTTGAGAGATGCTTTCTTTCTTCTTCTTTGTAAATCTTGAGTTCTTTCTTTCTTTTTTTAAAAGCGAGCTCTAGGCCCAATCCAATGTGGGGCTTGAACTCACGACCCCGAGATCAAGAGCCGCATGCTCTCCTGACTGAGCCAGCCAGGCGCCCCTGAGATGCTTGTAATCAGGGTTCAGTTCAGAGTCATTTGCTGCCAGGAAGCCCGGGGTTTAAGTCTCCTCTAACCAAGCGTGTGCTGCTGTGGGTCTCAGCTCTTCAAACCACCCTCTTTAATTCCTCCTAGATCCCCATCTTCCAGAACATGTCACCAACCATTGACCTCCTGATACCTGTACCCACACCTGCCCTTCTCCTGGTTGAAAGGAATTGAAACCAGAGTACTTTCAACTCCCCCCCCACCAGCCCAACCCAGCCTCCGAACCCACAGAGCCAGGAGGTGCTCATCCCCATCTCTCCTCTCAGGTTTTATTGACTGATGGAAACTACATCTTTGTCAGCCACCCGCTCCACGGGGACAGTGCTGGGGACAGGGAACCTGAGATGATGCCAGATTTCAGCCTGAGAGCAGACACAGAGTTCTGGAAGGTGACCCAAGAGGGAAAAGAGAGAGGAATATGTGAAAAGGCTCTGTGGGGTTGGGGGAGGGAGGAAGAGGAGATCAAGAAGTTCCTCCTGCCCCCAACAACTCCCAGAGTTCAGGAACAACCCAGGCCTCAGCCCCTGATGCTTCTGGACTCCTGCCCAAGAACTTGGAATCAGCTATGATCTCCAAACACAGCCCAGCTCTCGCTGGCTGCTAGGCTCTTATCTCAGCCAGTCCAGACTCCAGCTGAACCCAGGAAGGAAGCAAACCAGAGGAGAAGAGAGGAGGAGTGGGTGGAGGCGGCCCCTCTGATTAGGGCAGATGTAAATGCTGCAGCAGACTGGGCAGAGAGGCTTTGCATAATTGTCATGGCAGCAGCTGCTATTGCTAGAGTTTGCTGGGGGCCCAGCGGAGGACGGGGTTGCAGGCACCCGTTTCCAGCAGCCAGGAAAGGGGAGTGGTGTTTGTGCTATCTGTGTGGATTGGGAGAGGCAGCCTGACCCCTGAGCCAAGGCTGGGGGCTGGCAAGTCACTGCTGAGGCCACAGCCCATGAAGCCTGTGGTTGCATTCCAAGCTTCAGAACTGGGGATTTGTGGGGCTCGGTGGAGGGCAGGGACATCTCCTAGAGGCCAGATCAGAGGCGAAGGTTCTCTTCTCTGAACCCCCAAACCTCCACAGCCCAGCCAGAGAGAAGAGGGAATCTCATCTCTCCTTCTCAGGCCAGAGCTCAGATGTCAGGTGGGGCCCCCGGGGGCCCAAGAGGAGGAGCATGCAGGAGGCCAGCTAGGGGAGAGAGGCCAGCCCCAGCATGCTGGGGCAAGGAGGCCGGGGGGGGGGGGGGGCGGGGGGGCCTGAGGAGGCCCAGCACTTCAGCGCCCCCTGGAAAAACCATCGGGGGTGGGGAAAGTTTCCCCTTCCCTGGCTGCTTCCCCACCAGGTGAGCCGTTCCATCAAACTCCATTGCATAGTTCTCAGTGGGGGGCAGAAGGGGTCCCCAGGCCTGCCCCTCCCGGCCTCCCCAAAATATGGCTTTGGAAAGGAGTCCCCAAAAATCGAGAGGGCCCTCTGGACGGGCGGACCCACCGCTCACAGGGAAGAGATCTTGACAGTCTCCGGGAGGAGGCAAGGGGTGCCCAGGCTGGAGTTCCTGAGGGTGCTGCTGGCCCCACCACCACCACCAGGGGAGGAAGGTTGGCTCTCGTCCGGCGTGTTGGCAGGAGGGGTAGGGATACTGATGATGGCAGCCACAAAGTCCCGGCTGTCGCAGTTCAGGTCGAGGCTGTCATGGGGCTTGGCATTGAGGCTTGAGCGGCTGTGGATAAGGGTGGGGAGATGGAAGCTTCTTAAAAGGTCCGCTTAATACTTGCCCCAGCAATCGTGACATTTATTGAGCACCTGCTGGGTCCCTAGCACTGTGCTAAATGCTTCGCCTGCATCCTCAATTATGGCAGTGCCCAGTGAGGGCCCTGGGGTCAGGTGCTCCTGGGTCGAAATCCTGGTTTCACTTTGGCCCCTCTGAACCTCTCTTCTCTCTTTCATCTCCAGCATGGGAATAACAATATTTCCTACCTCATAGGGTCACTGTGGAGATTAAATGAGATAAGAGGTACTACAAAGTGTTTGGAATAGTGCCTGGAACATAATGAGAACACATGCAAAGATGTTCTCCATTACGGTTACTCCTTACAATGCCAAAATCCTCACAAGGATCCATTGTGAGAGCTGCACAACCTGGTCCCTGTTCCTTTCTGATTTGGCTTCCTACCACTCTCCCCCTCACTCACTCCACTCTGCTCACAGGAGCTTCTTGGCTGTGTCTCTGACATGCAGACCCATTCCTGCCTCAGGGCCTTTGCACAGGCCGTTTGCTCCCTCCCTCACCTTCTTCAGATGTTACCTCAGCAAAGCCTCCCCTGACCACACTATTTAAACTGCGCCATACCCTGTTCTGTACTCTCTGCCCCCCACCCCCGATTTCTTTTTCTTCTTGGCACTTAACACACCTCATCATCTGTGTCTTTGTTTGTTTATTAACTGTCTCATCACACTAGAATATAAATTCCAGAAGGTCAAGGATCTCTCTCTGTTCTCTTTGCTGCCTGAAGTGAACTCAATTCCTAAACTCCTACAGGGAACTCCAAAGTACCTAAAAGTGTGCCTGGCATATAATAGGTGCTCAATAAATGTTTGCTGAAAGGACCGACAAAGAACAAGCTCCAGACAAGAGAAGCCCAAGCTCCCAGCATAGAGGAGTTTGGGCTCAAGCTTGGCTTGCTGGGCCTGAAGTCATGACATCTCAGAACCCCCACCCCTGGGGCCAAGCTCTGAGCTCCCTCTCAGGGGGTAGCCAGCAGGTGGGGGTGCTTACCTCTGAGGGGCAGGGCTCCTGCGCAGCCCTGCCAGTGTGTCCAGCTCCTGCATGCTGCCGCGACTGACCGAGGCCGTGGAGTTGGCGAGGCGAATGGCACGGCGCTTGGCCCTGCGGGGGCAGCAGGAGGACAGCAGGCCGCCGGGCCCCACTGCCTGGGAGGACACGGAGGTGCTGCGGCTGGTGCGGCCCCCCAGTGAGACGGCGCCCAGAGCCTCGCTGAAGGTCAGCTCATCCGTGAACTCATGGCACTGGGGGCAGAAGGGAGGCACGGTCACCAGGCAGCACACGGGAACTGACCCCACTCCTGGGCCTTTGCTTAGGCTGCTCCTTCCTTTCCGGAAGTCTCTCTCGCTTCCCTTCCCTTGCCCACCCTTCGAGGCTCAGCTGTACTGGGGCCTCTTCCAGGAAGCCCTGTGGGATTTCCACAATTAGTAGTGAGCCTCCCATCCTGGGGGCATGGGGGGAGCTGGCTTGGCCACAGAGGAATGCCCCTCCTTCTGCCACGCCGCCACCTCTCCTTAGGCCTCACCGTTGTCTTCTCTAGACAGTGCAGGAGGTGGTGATGTTGTTGCTCGAAAGCAGACCGGTTCCGGACACACAGCGCCTGTTCCTCCCCACTGCCGCTGTCCTGGGTTGGGGGGCGGGGACGGAGCAGGGCACTGAGGTCAGAACCTTCTTCCTCCTGTCACTGCTCCCCTCCCCCCAACCCCAAGGCAGGCCCCTCCCCACCTCAAGGCCCCCATTCTGCTTGTACTGCAGGAAGGCATTGGTGGTACCACTCTTCGCCAACCGGATCCTTGCCAAGCGCACCTTCTACAGAGAAAGGAGGAGACAAAGAGTCAGGTGGGTAGACACAAGAGTAGACTGGCTTGGGGTGTGGGGAGCAGGAGGTACTCAGAGGGAAGAGGCAGTTACCTGCTGTGCTCGGCGCTTGTCAGCACGCTGGTTCTGGTGGTAGATGCGGCTAAAGTTGGACACGATGACTGGCACAGGCAGTGCAATGACCAGGACACCGCTGAGGGAGCAGATGGATCCGAAAATCTTGCCAGCAATGGTGCTGGGCACCATGTCTCCATAGCTGGGGCCAGGGGAGGGAAGTCAAGGTCAAGAAAAGTGCCCACCCACCCCTCAGTCTCCCACTCCGTCCCATCCAAACCGACACGCTCTGCAACCCTGGCCAGGCACTGAAACTTTCTGAGCCTCAGTTTCCTGCTCCGCAAAATGTGGGGAAAGACCTCTCTGGCCACCAGTGGGGGTCAAATGAGAAACTGGCCCTTGGCCCCTGCCATCTGCTGCCCCCTGCCATCTGCTGCCCCCCATCTGAGTTGCACACCGAGCATCTGAGTCAGCTGGAAATCTATTAATACCAAACAGAGGGGAGAAGGAGGAAGTCATAGGCAGTAAATATAGTCTCCTGGGGAGAGAGTCCCAGCACCACAAGCCAGCTGAGGGGCTCTGAGTCCCAGGAGCAGTGCTCTGTTAGTTTTGCTTACATCTGTCTTACCTTCTCTAGGTAGGACCCCTTCTTATTACAACCAGAAGAAGCCTTGAAACTGTCCTCCTATGAAAAAATAGGGGGGAGCCTTGCAACTCCCTCCTCCTTTTCTCCATGCCACCTCTTCCCAAGGAGATGGAGAAGTGCCGATCTTACCAACTTGTTTCACGGGGCCGGGGTGGGGGGACCAAAACTCAGGGAGGTTCCGTAGCTGACTTGCACAAGATCGCACAGCATACTTATGTTCGGACCACGGGAGCAATTAGACCCCCTCCCCTCTGCAGTCCCAGCCTCTAGGCCTTCGCTCAGTCCATGTCCCCCTCCCCCGCCCCAAGGATGGCTGTTCCTTATTTCTTTGTTTTGACTCATTTAAAAGTCTCTCCAACTTGGCCATTTCTGGTCTGTGATGTGTCATCTCAGACTGTGTCCTCAACTATGAGACGCAGGCAGCTGTCCACCCTCCCAGGGTTGCTGTGAGGACTCGCTAGGGTAAAAGGCACCCAAAGACCCAGTTCCAACCCACTCTCAGGGCTCAGTATTTGTATGTCGATCCAATTCTGAACCTCCAACCCGAATTAATTTCTACTCCTTAGAAACCTGAAAGCCATTTTTCTGTACCTCTATGAAAGCCCGGAGCAAGCCCAAATCACCCGTTCGACAGATCCTGAGCAGCAACTGCACACCTAATCCCAGCGATGGAAATTTAGAGAAGGAGCGCGATATCTGCCCTAGACAATGTCTTTAAGAACAACATGAGTTTGGTGATTCCATTTGATGCCTTTTATCCCAACTGTTTCCTCTCAAGGACTGACACTAAAAACATAATGCCGAAAATACCTTGACCTGGAGAACATCAAGGAATCACAAAGCCACAGAGGTAGTACCCCATATGGCAGATGATTCTGGAGGTTTGGGAGACATGGGTCCTCAAGGTGGGAAAAGGAGGTGATGGAAAGCCAGTACCTAGGTATCCTACACCAGAAACTTTCAGAGAACTTTCGCAACCATGAGGTCACGGAATCCCCTCTAAATGATGGAGGGATCACCATTTCTCATTTGACACGGGGAGGGGGGGAACAGGCCCAGAGAGAACAAGGTCAACAGAAAGAGTGCAGCTAAGACAATCCTTGGAACCCAAGTCTCCTGACCCGGACAGTGAAGGCATCGTCAGACCTGCGAGGGATTTGGAGATTGGTCCAACTCCCTCTGTTTTTTTTTTTTTTTTTAGAGAAGAGCAAACAGAAGTGCAAATAGAGAAAAAAGAGATCGTTTATCTACCCTTCTTACTCTTACAGAAAAAGGTGAGTGTAACTGGTCGGGCAGCTCCCAAGACAGGGTCTGCACTCACCCAAGTGTGGTCATGGTGACAATGGTATACCAGAAGGCCGCAGGGATGCTAGTAAAGTTGGTCTTGTTTGTGCCCTTCTCGGCATAAAACATGACAGTGGCGAAGATGATGATGGCCATGGTAAGGGAAAAGAGGAGAAAGCCGAGCTCAGAGGCACAGCTCTTGAGGGTGTAGCCCAGAATCCGCAGGCCCTGTGAGTGCCTGGAGAACTTGAAGATGCGGAACACCCGGAACACACGTAGGGTGACGAAGGCGCCCGAGACATCCTCGTTCTTGGGCACGAAAAGCCCGATGTAGTAGGGCAGGATGGCCACGACATCGATAAGGCTCATTACACTCCGCAGGAAGCGGCACCGGCTGGGGGCGGCGAACAGCCGCAGGAGGTACTCGCCCGTGAATATGAGCACACAGGCCGTGTCCATGCAGAAAAAGGCCAGGGGGAAGCGGTCGCCGCAGGGCTGCTCCCTCGGGGGCCGCCGCGCGGGACCGCGGCACGGGATGGTCTCCACCACGTTGGCGATGACCGACACGGCGATGAAAAAGCCTGTCACGTAGTAGAAAACGAGGGCTGCGGTGCTCGTGTGCGGGTTCTCGAAGGCCCGCCAGAGCCGCTGCCGCAAGGAGCTGCCGGCCGGCAGGGCTGGGCCATCGCTGGCCTGCTCGGCCTCCTCGTCCTCGGCCAGGCGCTCGGCGTTCTCCTTCTTGCGGTCCCGGTACTCTTCGAGGCAGCAGTCGCCCACGAGCTCGGGCACCAGGCCGTAGAAAGCCAGCTCTTCGTCGAAGGCCTGGATGCACTCCTGCCGCGGGCAGTGCAGGCGGCCGGTGCGGTAGAAGTTCAGCACGTGCCGGAACATGTCCGGGTCGCGATCAAAGAAGTACTCGCCCGAGTCCGCGTCATAGAAGAATTCCTTCTCCGAGCTGCCTAGCAGGGTGTCTGGGTAGCGGTCCAGCGTGTTCTTCCAGGTCTCGAAGCGCCGGCCGCTCACGTTCACCACCAGAACCTCGTCCCCTCGGGACGCCTTCACCCCCGGCGCGGGGGGCAGGGGCTGCTGGGCCAGGGGCAACCAGCCCACCGCGGCCGCCCGCGCGAAAGGCAGCCACGTGGCCACGCCTGCCGCCATCCTGCCGCGCCCCAGGCCCACGGAGACTTGGGGGGGGGGGCCCTTAGGAGAGGGGGGCTGTCTCCAGGGTGGTGGGGGCTTGGAAGGGGCCCTGGGCCACTGGCACAGCAAGCGGGGGGTGTCAACGGAGGCAAAGAGGAACCAGGAGGAACTAGGGGGACGGGGGGGGGCTGGGGGGGCATTTGGGGGGTCGGGGGGGGACTTGGGGGTTGTCTTGAGGGACCTACGGAGGAGGGGCTAGGGCGCATGGAGAAGAACAGCAAAGGGGCGCCCGGAGGGGCGGAGAAGGATCTGAGGGAGTGTTTAGAGAGACAGGGATGGCTCTCGAGGGGTCAGCATGTGCCTGCGAGATGTCTGGGGTGCCTAGGAGGGCAAGGAACACTGGGGAGTTGTCCACACTCTCAAGAGTTCTGAGGGAAGATGGGGCTGGGACCCCTTAGTGGGCTTGGAGAAGGGACCGGGGCTGACGTCCAGAGGGGTGGAAATGGGAGCAGAGGTGTTTCAAAGAGGCCGAGAGTGTCTAGAGGGGGGTTCTAGAGGGGCCGAGAAAAGTGAGGCGGGTCATCCACACCCTCAAAACTTCTGAGGAAAAGATTAGGGGATTGGAGCTCCCTCATGGATCCAGGAAAGGGGTTCGTGCACGGAAGAGGTGGCTATAGAACCAGGAGGTTGTAAAGAGGCTGCCAGGTGTCTTGGGAGTGCCTGGAGCTGCCAAGAATAGCCTGGGGGGGGTATCTACACTCTACAGGAGTTCTGGGGAAGGAAGGCAAGGTGGGGCCCCCTAGAGGGGCTGGAGAAGGGAGTGGGGCATCTAAAGGGGTAGATATGGGGCTAGGTTATTTTTCAGAGACCGAGAGGTGTCTGGGAGCGAGGGGTATGGGGGTGGTGCTGAGAAAGTCTGGTTCACCCTCTCAAGAGTTCCACGGGGGGGGGGGGGAAGAGGCCTGAGGAAGCCCCCTGGGGCTCAACTGGAAGTTGGGCACAGCCCCAGAGCACCCAGAGGTTGGATAAAGACTAAGAGGAGGGGTCCCCCTTCCCCCCAGCAAAATGGGTTGGAGAGCGGGTGGGGTGTTAAAGGGAGTTGGGTGTGTCTCCAGGGAGGGGGGCTGGCGGGCCTTGCGGGGGGGGGCGGATGGGGGAGGCCGAGGCGAAGCTGCGTCCCACCGTTAGGGGCTGGTCTGGGGAAGCCACACCCCGAGGGGCCGGCGGTGGAAGCGGCGGCGGCGGCGGCGGCGGCGGCGGCGGCGGCAGAAGAGGGGAAGCAGCCACAGTCAGGCCCGGGAGAGGAGAAGGTGGCACAGGCAGGGGGAGGGGGCCGGGGCCCTGGAAAGACAAGGGCCCGCAGAAGCCCTGGGGACTATCCCAGGATGGGCTAGGGCATGAGGGCCGGACCAGGGAAGGGACAAGGACAGCGCTGTTGGTGGCCCCCTCCCCCTCCCCCAAGGGCCGTCCTCACCTGTGTCCCCGCTGCAGCGGCGGCCACAGCGGTGGGGCTGGGGGTACCAAACACCGGAGCTCCTGCCCCCCGCTGCAGAGCTGCCCGAGTTCTCCTCCTCCTCTGCTTCTCTCTCCCCGCCCCTCCGAGCTTGCCGGGAGCTGGAGAGAGAGGCAGGGAGGGGCCTCGTGGCTCCCGGAGCCCCCTCCCCTAGGACAGCCTGAGAGGGACCCTGGGGAGACTCCGCCTCCTACAAAGCTGGTTGGGCCTCAGTCGCGTCATCTGGAAAATGGGGGTGGCAGGGAGCTCTGCCAGTTCTCCCCACCTCCTTCCTGGACTCCCCCCTCTTCCTGCCCAGCTCCTACCCCCTCTGCCCCCGGGGGCCCCCACCCCCACCCGTCTGAATCAGCAGCACTTAGCAGATCCGATCGATGGGGAGGCGTCTGTTAATGGCCCCAGAGCGGAGTGCCATGGGGAATGATGCAGCGCTGTGTCCCCTCCCTGCCCCCATGCTGGAGAAGGGCTGGAGAAGGGGGTGGATGGAGGGACTGGTGGGGGGCATTTCTCTAGATGGCCAGGTCCCCAAAGCTGCTCCCTGGGTGGGGGGGGGGCGGTGCATGCGTTAGAGCCCAGCTCTGACCAAGACTGTTGCTATGGGACTGGAGCACCAGCCTGAAATAGGGGGTAAGGGGAGTGTGGATGGGGGCAAGCCAGGTCCCACCCCCATGCCAGGGTCTCTCTCAGGCAGGCCCCACTCTGAGGGGCAGTCTGCCTCATCCCTCTGCGTCCAGGAGCCTTAATTCACGCCGCCTCCCCTAGAGGACTCTGCTCCCGGGTGGCATAGAGTACTGGGTACCGAGTGCCTCAGGACCACGGATGGGTTCGAACCCCAGCTTTGCTGCTGACTTGCTGTGTCCTTGAGCAAGTGACTTGCGTTGTATCCTCAGCTGTCAGATGGAGAGTTACCCCAACTTGATAGTATCGTGGGGGGCATTAAATGGAGTCATGTGAGAGGGGATGGCACAGGGCATGGCGCACAGGGGAAGCCTCATTTTTTAGTAATTAAAAGTGTGGCGAGAGGGGGAGCACTAAGGGGGGACCAATTTTCCCCTTTCAATCAATCTACCCACCCGCGTAATCCTGTTTGCTTACTCATCACACTCCCGATTTGTCTGTTTCTCTATCCCTCCATCCACCCACCACGCACCTATCAATCCATTCTCCCACCCCACAACCCAGTGCTCTACCTATCCCTCCACCCACCCGCTTGCTCATCCATTTGTATGTTCACCCCATCCACCTATTTGCCACCCTATCCTTATGTACCCCCGGCACCCATCTATCTGTCCATCCATAGCCGTGCCCATCACTTACTTACCTACTCTTCACTCTTCCTCATCCATCCATCCATTCCCCTGGCCATCCGTCTACTTACATCTCCAACCTATCCATCTATCCATTTATTCATCCATTTGCCTATCCATCCATCTGCCTGTGTATTTCTCAACCTCCCCCATCATTGATCTGTGCAACCTTCCACTTATTTATCCATCAGTCCACCTAACCACTTATCTATCCTCTCACCTGCCCACTCTTATCCACACCCATACCCCACACACATCCACCCACATACATATCTGTAGGTATTTCTGTGCCACTCAGTTGGAGGGGCGGGCCCACGGTAACCGGAGACAGATAGGGGAGGGTGGGGGAAGGAGAGTAAAATTGCAGCCACAGACCTCCCTCCCCATTCCAATGGTGTGACCTCCCCATCCCCAGCACATCCCTCCGGGTTGGAAAGAATGAGAGTAGACAGTCAGTGGGTGGGCCCATCTGGCCAGATGGTATTTTGGCTGCAGCCTTTACACACACACACACACACACACACACACACACACACACACACACACACGTTGCTAGAACACTGAACACGGACCACGCCCCACCCGAACATCCCCAATCCCAGATGCAGAGTAGCCAGGCTTCCAGACATAAATTAAAAAATAAAATAAAATAAAATAAAAAAGAGTTGGTCTCTGGGGAGGGAGAGCTCATGCAGAGATGAAGGCAAAGGCCTCTGGGAGCCAGGGCAGAGAAAGACGAGAAATCCCTGCCCCTCCCCTCAGGATCCCCACTTCCCCGAGGGCTTCTGCCCTCAAACAGGGTCACTAACACCAGCCAACAGGCCTGCAACCCCTTTAATGTCCAGTCTCCCAACCTATTTGATTTTGGCCCCATTTTCCCACCACAGCCCAAGGGGATGGTGTCCTGGAGGCAGGGGTGGGGAGGGGAGGGAGTAGGTGCAGCCTTCAGGTCTTTAGCTGGCTTCTCCCGGTTCTAGGTCTGGGTCAGGGGACCCCACGCACTCCTTGCTGAGCCGCACAATTTCCTGGGAGAGAACTTCGATGTCCTGAGAAACAAATGAGCCATCAGGGGCCAGGGAAAAGAGCAGGCGACACTCCCTCACCAAACCCAGGGTGTCATCCTTCTCACCTCGTTCATCAATGCCCAGCTATGTCTAGCCTGGCACAGAAAGGTATTTGGAGAGGCTCACAGAACCCCAGCAGTGGGTTGGGCTTGGAAAAGATGGGGGGAGGGGGGCGGGAGCCTCCCAGGGGAGGGGGACCTAACGATAGGGATATGGGAGCAGATCACCCGCTGCATGTGGTGCGGCTGGAGGATACAAACCTCCCCTTGCCACCAGCTTTTCTACTAAATGGTGAGCTCACTTCTCAGAGGCAGGGGCTGGGTCTGCCACCTTTCCGACTCCCCCAGAAATGGGGGAAATATTTGGGGGGGGCAGGATGGGCAAGCAGATGTACGGGGTGATCCATGGTAGGTAAACGGGTGAGCAAAGGGACGGTTCAGAGGACGGATGGAGGACAACGGCTAGGCAGGCAGGTCACTGGGCAGGTGGGTAAAAGTTCAGACAAGGGGTGACGGATGAGGTGGTGTGAGAGAGAGAGAGAGGTATGTCAGGAAATGGGTGGAAAGACACGGGGCAGATGATTAGATGGGCAAGTAGGGCAGGTTGATGGGTGAGCTGGGTGAAGTGTGCATGAACAGATGAGCGGGTAGGTGCAAGGACAGAGCGAAGAGTGAAAGGTACAAGGGAGAGCAGGTGAGTTGACCGGAGGATGGGGAGGTGGGGATGGAGGCGCGGTCAATGAACGGGTGGGGGGTTCTGGGTGCTGGCAGATGGCCCGGGGGCTGTGTGGCACGGGAGGCAGGCGGCGAGATGGACAGATGGGTAGGCTGGTAGGCCACACTCGCCTTGTGCAAGTGCATATTCTTGGTGAGTTGCTCCTCCAGCATGTTCTGGAGCTTCTTGTTCATCTCCCGAAGGTTCTCGTCACCTGGCTTCACGAGGTCTCTCAGGACGCTGCCCAGTCCACTGCGGTCCGTGTGGCCTGCTGCCACAGACACATCTGCAAGGGCCCATGCTGAGAACCAGCGCTTCAGCAGAGCCGGAGCACAGAAGACAGAGACGGGGCGGAGAAGAGGGAAACAGAGAGCGGGGGCCAAAAGCAGCGGGGAGAAGCCGTGTGATGTCGGGGCCGAGGCTTTGCCACGTGAAACCCCGGCCATCACTTACTAGAAATGGGGATAATAGCCAACTCGTGGGGCTGGAAAAAGGTCTCTGACCGCATGCAAAGCACAGAGCACCCAGCTCTCAGCATGCATCAGTCCATGTTATTCTGACTCCTAAAGGAAAAACAGGGGTAGGAGAAAGTGTGAAAGAAAGGAGCAAAAGAAACAAAGACGGGGGGGGGCGGAGGAGAAAGAGGAGAGAAAGTGGGAGAGGAAGAGATAAGGACCCCCCAAAGGGGTACACGTGCAGAGGACGAGAACTTCCGGAGGAGACCCGGTACAGACAGGCAGCAGGAGCAGTGAGACGAGATGATGGGGTGCAGCAGAAAGAAGAGATGGGGAGAGGAGAGGAGGGAGACAGAGGGGACAGAGAGCCACACCAGAGAAAGGAGAGTGGAGTGAGGACAGAGACCCAGACCGTAGGGAAGAGCCGAGGTAAGAGACAGACACACAGGGGACGGACAGGCCGGGCCTGCTCTTCCCTCCAGCGGCTGTGGTCTTGTCAGTACCTTTGCTGAGTCGCAAGAGGAGAGGGGACAGTGGGGGAGGAGGAGGCAGGTCAGCGGCCGGGGTGAGGGGGGGTGAGGCTGGGGAGGAGGCACTGACCGATCCGGCTATCCATGACATAGGTCTCGATGATGGCGCTCTTCCGGCAAAGGTCCTCCGCCATGGAGGCGCTGCTCACCTCCAGGTGCTTCACCTGCAGGGCGGCCCCGCATGTTCACACATAACGAGGGGCCCAGCCACACATCCCCCCTCCACGCTCCAGCCTCCCTTCCAACGGTGTGTCAAGTGAGGACATGCAGGCAGCACCTTCTCCTCCAGCATCCACTTCTCTTGCTGCGTCTCTGCCAGGCGCTGAAAGAGCTCAGCCACTTCCTCATCTGACAACTCTGCTGGCCGAGGGGGCTGGGCCTGAGGGCTGCTGGATAAGGACTGCGGGGAAGAGGAGGGGAGAGGCCAGCCCAGGGTCAGTGCTGTCGCCCACCCCCAGTTCGGATCAGGGGCTGAAAGGGAGCCAGGGCTGGGTGGGGGTGGGCTCTGTGACAGGGGCTGTAGACCAAGTCTCAGCACCCCCGGGGGACTCTGGATCTCCCTTTGCCTAAAGAGGGACACAGGAACCGCCACATCATTTCCTCATTGAGAGGATGAAGGGAGAGCCTCTAGCAAATGAGATCTCGTTTCCAGTCGACAGGAAAACTAGAGGACAGAGGAACAAGGTAAATGATACCACTAGGAAGCCAGCAGGAGAACCCAAAAGGTGGGACGTTTTCTTCAGGTCAACTGGCTGGTTTCTTCTACGGGTTGGGTCATGGAAAAAAAAAAAGGACCACACTAGACTCAAGAGACTTAAAGGGCATAAAGCAACCAGATGCGACATGTGCTCTGAAACGGAATGCTGGTTTTCGAGGACATTTTGGGACCAACCAGGGAAATCTGATTAAGATCAGAGTACTAGAGAAGATGAACATTTACAAAATCGGGAGGATAAAGATCAGCTGAACAGGGGCGCCTGGGTGGCTCAGTCGTTAAGCATCTGCCTTCAGCTCAGGTCATGGTCCCAGGGTCCTGGGATCCAGCCCCACATCAGGCTCCCTGCTCGGCGGGGAGCCTGCTTCTCCCTCTCTCACTCCCCCTGCTTGTGTTCCCGCTCTCGCTGTCTCTCTCTCTGCCAAATAAATAAAATCTTAAAAAAAAAAGATCAGCTGAACAAAAACAGGTTACTTACAATCTCATTTAGGTTTAAGAAAGAGAGGGGCGCCTGGGTGGCACAGTTGGTTAAGCATCCAATTCTTGGTTTCAGCTCAGGTCATGATCTCAGGGTCGTGAGATGGAGGCCCACGTCGGGCTTGGAACTCAGCATGGAGTCTCCTTGAGATTCTCTCTCTCCCTCTCCCTCTGCCCCTCCCCCCACTTGTTTGATCTCTCTCTCTCTCTTTCTCTAAAATAAGTAAATAATATCTTTTTCTTTTTTTTAAAGAGCAAGATCTAGAAAGGCGTGAACCCAGGGTTTATAGTGGTGATCTCTGGATGGTGAAGATGTGGTTTCTTTGGATTAAAAAAAAAAAATCTTTGCTTCTGTGTGTTTTTTAAATTTTTCTACATGGCACACATACTACTTATGGAATAATCACAAATGATTTCCAGAGAAAAGTGGCCGGCCAGGAAGCTGACACAACAGACGACAGTAACGAGTGATAATTACAAGTTGGAAAAAAGGACCTCCTACCTGGGTGGTGCACCTGCTATGAGCTACATATTTTATGACACCGGGAAAGGTGGAATTAGCTCACAGATGAGGGAACAGAGGGGCAGGGAGAATAATTTGCCCACCCCCCATTTGGCAATCTGAGTCCCAGTTGGCGAGCTTAGAGAAAAGTTGGTAAGAAAATGTGTGTGCTGGGCCCAGAGAGGTAGATGGCTGCAGGGGAGGGCAAAAGGTGGGCCCCAGAACTGGGGTAGGAGAAGCTGGACTGTCGGCTCCTCCTTGCCCCTTACCCTGGCTGGAACAGTCGAGCTTTCCTTCTCCCGCAAGATCTCCCGGTAGCTGAAAGAGGAGACGCTACTGCTGTCCCCAGTTTGGGTCCGGCTTGGTGAGTTCATCTCTGAGAGAACCAGCTCCTCGAGGCCTTGGGCAGAGAGGGAACAGAAACCTGAGCCCCAATCCCCCAGGGTCCCAGGGCAGCGACTGGCAGGAAGAGGCAGAAATAGATTGGACAGAGATGGAAAGAGGCGAAGTGACACTTGAGCGTGGGGAAGGTGGAGGCACACAGCACAACAGGGAGAGGCAGAAACGGAAAAAGGAGCTGCCTCTCAGGGCAAACACACATGCCAGAAGAGAAACAAAGGTGAAGAGGCTGGGAGAGAGTGGGCAGTGTGGACACCTACAGGCATTAAGGGACGTCTGCACTTGGACTTGGGGTATGCACAAAGAGGACCGACAGCTGGGGAGAGCACGGGGCGATGCCCACATGCAGAGAGAAAACCCGACAGGCAGCGAGCCACAGCAGACGGGAGAGGCCAACAGAGACCGGGCATAAGGACACGAGTCAGCAGAGACGAGAAGGGGGAAAAAAGATGGAGAGAGACATGTAACCATGACCCTAAATCCTCATTTCATCTAACGGACAAGGACAATGTATGGCACCACCACTGGAATCTGCTTGTTGATTCATACATTAATCTGTAGCAAAACAGAAACCAAACCCCTCTGATAAAGAGAGGTTATGGGCACCTGGGTGGCTCAGTCGGTTAAGCGTCTGCCTTCGGCTCAGGTCATGATCCCAGGGTCCTGGGATCGAGTCCCGCATTGGGCTCCCTGCTTCGTGGAGAGTCTGCTTCTCCCTCTACCCCTCCCCACTGCTTATGTTCTCTCTCTCATACTCTCTCTCTCTCAAATAAAGAAATAAAATCTTTAAAAAAATAAAGAGAGGTTACTTCAGGATAGACAGAATGCCTCAGGGAGACATAGATTGGGTGAGAGATA